GGAGCTACTAAAATTTAAGTGGTAGAAGACGACGAGTTTCGCTTTGTTCTTTTCCAAGTAGGACCCATTTCTGCATCACAAAAGAAAAAGAAGATTTAAATAATTTTTGTTCTCATTATATGATTTTATCTTGTTTCAAAATTTAAAAAATATTAGTTGTGAAAAAAATAATAATGAAAAAATTCATCATCATCCTCAATTCCCCCGACCTCTCTCTTCTCTGGCATTTAAAACGGTCAGGTCCACACTCGTGCTTTAAATGACTATTATACCCTTGTCGGATAATAACGCTTTGTAATTTTCCCGTAATACCCTCGAGTAGTCCCGTTACCTTTTTAAATGAAAACAGGTACAGTGTGAGAAGAAAACCCACGAGGCCGACAGTAGATTTTTGGTTGAGATCATGACACGTGGACGGTGGAGATGAGAAAGATTGACCTTACGTCCTAGTTATTATTACATCATCGGTGGGTCCCTTTTGTGTTCTTATAAGTTTAGTGGTCACACACACACTGTCCTCTCTTTCCACTCCCATTGACTTTATTTACCGTTTTAGAAAATAAATACTACTGTTCTTGTCATAAATGATATTGTATGACTACTTTATAATCAATTATTAGTTGATAAAGTTTGGCGATTTCACCAATCTTTTTCTTTTTTTTCATATACTATTGCTTTTTTTGATTCTTTCTTTCTTCATATTTATGACATTAGTGTTTTATTTTTGTTATCATTCGCACATCTAACGTATAAAGCATGTTAATGCCACAAAAATGAAATCAACTACAGAAAAATGAACTCAGAAGCGTTATACATTTTACTTGTGAAACTCTTGTTTTGGTATATTTTTAAAGCAATTTAAAAAAACAAAAACTAATGTTATCGTGACAAAAAATAATAATAATTATTGTTATCTACATTTCTTTAATCTATCAATTAGATAGAAATTATATAATGCACTGAAAGTGTATACTATAGCTAAATTTTTAATCTAATAAAATTAGAACACGACATTTATAATGAAATAGATAGAATAATAATTATATGGTGGTGTTAGATCAAATATAATTAACGGTTTTAGTTTAAGATGCACCATATGGTAAAGAATAAAAAATAAACATTTTCTTTGTGTCGTTGACTAATTCCAAGATACAAAATCTTAAAAAGAAAAACGCCAAATCTTCCTAATGACAATTACTCTTGTTACTTTTTTTGTTTTTTCCTAAAGACTTACTTATTCTATTGTAAATTAAGTGGACGGAAAAGAAAAAACAGAAATCTACTGGAAATTGACACGAAAATACAGTTTACATCCAATGGCAAGTTATCAATACATAATGCTCTGATTGATAAAACGTTTATTAACACTGCACTGATGCATTACAATGTGTATTATTGTAACCAATTAAGAAGATAGTATTACTTGTGATCATATATATTCACATTTATAAATTTATATTATAGGATTATTATTACATCAGTATTTACCAAAAACTTGAGTAGGTATGTATACTATACAGTATAAACTTATATATATATATACAGGTGATGCTATCGGTAGAGCTGTTTTGTGAAGAATATGTGACGTACAAAGGAATATTCCAAATATTGTTGGATTGATAGCTGGAATTTGTGAACATTCTATTTTTGACAAACTAATAAGATAAGAGAATTAAAACACGTATAGTTTTTTTTTTTCGTCTATCCGACAGTTACCGGCCTATCGCTGCTGTTACTAGAAAAAAAAATCAAGTAAAATTATCATTTCTTGTTCTTGATTTTTTTTTTTTTTAAATATAATCATGATAGATGACCGAAATACAAACTAATCCCCAAAATGTATAAATTTTTTGGTTTTTTTTTTTGTCATTTAAAATGTCTACAGTAGCCAAATGGAAAATCAACAGTCAGTAGTTGGTCGGATTTGAATTATTAGTTTTAAACCTTGAGAAAAATTTCTTCACCACTCTAACTCAAACATTAGACTAAGAATTTACATTTTTTCGACCATATCTATGTATGATTAATGTTAGCTAGGAGAAGAAATAAACCAATGGCTTGAGAGGAAAATAATATCACGAGAGCGATCCAAAATAAACGTTCATGTAAATCCCGTGATGCATTGCATGAGTCCTCTTGTATTCCCAATTGAAAATTCAGAAACATTGAAGGCAGACGAACATTACGAAAATATATTTGAAAAAATAGATCTAAGGATAATTAAAAAGAGTGGCCCTGGAGAAGCTTAGTGTCAGGTGTTTGTCCTCTCTCTCATGCTAACCAGCAGAGCTACTGTTTCTGATCATAAACAGGAGACAAGAAGACAGTTTCTTTAGAAAAATTTTTCCTTGGTTTTGTACACTAAGCGACTTTTATTGCTCAAGCTTTGAAAATTGAAAAATTGGCCATTCATATTTTAAGAGTTAAAAGAACATGCAAATGTTGTAATCATCGTTGTGTTGCCTTCTCTATGCTTCTAAAATACAGCCTAAATTCAAGAATTTGTAGAAAAAATTTTACAGTATATAGTCAGAGTTCTCAATGCTTGAAATTGGTTCCAAGAAAGAAGCTAGAAATCTCTTCCAAAATGTCAAATGCCACACAAGTCTAATGATAGTCGTTCTTGTTTCTTCTTCTTCATGCCAAGGTTAAAACATTACGAAAATACATTTGAAAAATTCTAGGAAAATTAAAACTAAAATAATCTATCTATATTCTAGTAGAACTCCTGTGGTT